AAATAAACAACTCATTAGGAATATTTTTAGTATGCACCTAACAAATATTTTTTTAATTGCTTACGTAAGTATTATTAAAAAAAATCCGTTTAAAAAAAAGTTTAAAAAGAACAATCTGTGGTCCCTAACACATATCGTATTTTTATGGGGAGTTCCGTTTGTTCCGCGAATATTTTAATCGGTTCATCGCGCAGTTCAAGTTTTCCCGATTGGCTGGGTTCCCTTTCATGAGACGTCGAATATTGCTCGCCATACCTAAACTAATGCGAGTCGACAGTTTTGCGAGCTAAACACGCACAGGTTCAATGCTCCGCTAACAATGGCGTAGTGCAATTCGGACGCGCCAGCAACAAAATAGTTGGCAAAGTAGTATATAAATGATCGTTGGCAAGGGTTCTCGTAAACTGCGCCATGTTTCTCGTTTCTCAAACAAAGTTTTTGTAATACCACAATGTACAGTTCATTTACACACTAGGCGCGAGCAAGACAGAAATAGTTGGAATAAGCTTGAACGAGCAGCGCTCTCGGTGGGCGGTCTTAGAAGATCGGCTAGAACTGTACAGTACTAGACGAAAATGTTTAGCAATTTCTTAAAACAAAAATGTATATAAATTAACAATAGAAAACAAAGCAAAAGTTTTATAGGTGTGGAGAACGTTAAGTTAATTCACTTGTTATTATTTTTGGCTAAATATGCTTTTAAATAAAGCATATTCTTAAATTTTAACGAGGCAGTTTAAATAATTTTGCAAATGGTACTGTACACTTTTGTCTAGCTCTCGCTCGATGCTCGGTAAAGGAATGAGCTACGCAAACAAATATGATTGAATTTGGAATTATGCTACGGCGCATCCTAATAAAGGGAAGGGGCATATCTCTAACTTCCTGAAACGAACTACAATTAATGTGTTACAAATTTTCAACCTTGGCGATCGAAATTTATAATATATAAAAATGAGGGCAATTGAATTAGAATCTCATTAACAACAATAATTCCTCCATTTACGATTACGAACATTTTAGAAATATTCTTCATAGATTAAAAATTATTTATATCAAACCATAACAATTTATTGTTTCACAAGTTTCTAATTTCACGATTACGTTTACAACTTTTTACGTAAGTGCACAACCGAGCAGTGGCAATATCGTGTGAACAGTAAATGGACCTGTCGCGCAGTCGACTGCGCACCACGTGCGGGTCGTCGTTTGTGCGGCACAAAAAGAGGGGGGGAACAGACCGTGACTGCCTGTTTTTGTGTCGCTTGAGCGCCAACAGCTGACGACTGGGATCGGAATTGCCGACTTGCGGCGCGTTATCTCCTCGGCCGTCGACGTCGCGGTTAGCGCCGATGCCGGTGCCGCTATGTTTAGTAGGCTACTGTGGGAATGCGCTAATGCGAAATTAAGCAACACGGCGACGCCCGCTCGTTTGCTACAGCAGATCGGCCGTCCGTGTTTTAAACGGACGGGACGATGCGATGTGGTGGCGGCGACCTTATATTATATACTCTCGCACACATACAAAACATGTACATTCGCATTAAATACAGTACTGTTCGAAAGTAGTCATACGCACGGCGACCTCAGCTTATAAATAAAATAATGGCGTCATGTTGGAGTTGGATTAGGAAAAGAAAAGTTGGTAAAAAAAATATACAAATATACCAAACTACATACATATACTTGAAATTATATGTCTATTTGTGACTCATCGTCAGAAAAACAAAGTTTACACCAAAAATATCTAGTTTGAAGGTTACGAATATTATTTAAACAGTATTTTTATTTCTTCGTGGGTTGAGTGAGTGGGAATGTTATTTATTAAATAAATATTAACTTCTAATAATATCCAGCAAGTATTCTGCAACTGTATGCACTATCATATCCAACTCATCGACTTTTGGAACAGATTTTATAGACATGACGACACTTTTGTAGTATCTAACATTGAAAACGCAATTTGTGTCAATGACAGCGCTGATAAAACTTATCAAGAAAAACCTAATTTGTTTCAATGCTGTAATCAGTGTGGTTGTTTTCTTTTCACTTTATTAACCTGTTATTTTCTACACATCTAGTTACCTACAAATTATTTATTTGATAAGACCACTTGTACCTCTAATCAATATTTACCCTAAAAATAAAACTATCAATTGTTTTCCAGTATCTACCTGTAATATTAATCAACAGTCAATATCATAAAAACTCAAAAATTTTAAAAATTTTACAAAAAACCCCAATAACGTCTATATTACTTGAACGTGGTTGGTTTGTCTTTTGATAAGTTAACATGGCTTTAACAATAATAATTAACTTTATGTGTGCATGAAAAGGAGAAAGTGGAAATTATGTCGAGAATTTTTTTTTTAAATTCTATATACATATATTTTTTATAATCTACATAACAAAAAAAAATTCGTGTAAAATTTATAAAAAGAGTGATGTATTTACTAAATGTTTTTGCAAGCGAATATTTCAATACATGAATAATAATATAACAGACAAGATATCAACCAACAAAATTGACGTCACCGCATTTTTACCCAACGTGATCCTCTGAAATACTTTCCAACAATAATGTCCCACATTTGCGCCGATACAACTAAATTTCATATGAAATACGTAACATTAATAGCTAACAAAATTCCTTGCTTCTAACAATTTTGTTTACGATTGTACCTAAAACTCTTAATTAATAAGATTATGTCAAATAATTAACAATAAATAAGGTCGCCGATTGTAAATTAAAATAGTAATCAATTTAATATTTTAAAGTATTAGAATTTTTTTTCGTTTAATTTCGTATAATCAAGTTTAAATTTCGCGCGAGACGTGTATTATAGAAACAATGACGCCCGCCGCCTACTACCGATTATTTTATAACATAATAACAGGTTGTGGCTACGCAACGGCCGATAGGATTTTACCGACGGCGATGACTGTCAGAACAAACTCTTGCTGTGCGGGTTAACTCCGCTTGTAACGATGCCTCGACAATAACAATTCAACGCTCTCGCGATTCCGAGTACGCTAAATGCTTACAGGTCGCCCGACAGCGGGTAGACGAGAACCAGCAAACATGGCAAAAAATTACTAACAGTCATCACGACACCTGACTACGTTTTATTGATGTTTGAGATAACGCATCAACCCAAGAAGTTTCTAGGCGTGGTGGACAGTCTTTCTTGGGAGTACATCCTGTACAATTTATTTTAAGAAACTTCATCTTCAACTTTTAATTTTCAAGTTTTTGTAAAAAATGACTATATTTAAATTTTAAACAACTATTTCTATTTAAGTAATTAATAAATTTATAAAATAAACAATTTGAGATCAAAATAACTTTGGGTTTCATGCGCCATGTTCGCTACAAGCCGTGCGTAATTTTTGACCGTATTTGCAAGTAACGGTCCCACAGTACGATGGCGTAATCCCGAAAGATTACCCGCTCCGTTTATAGCCGTTATCATCGCATCGTGCGCCGACAGCGGCCGCTCGAGCAGCCAGCCAATCCGTCCTTTTCCCACTACTACAATGTTCCATATGTATTTACTATTACCGCTCCACTCGGCCGTCAAACTCGAGCCACTATACAGAAACGAGACCGCCACGCCATCGCATACCGATCCGCCACCGCTGTCGTGTTTCGGGCCCGTTCTTCGATGTCGTTTCTCGTTCCGCACTCACACCACACGGATATCCGCACTCGGGCGACGCATCGGGCGGTTCCGACCGTCGTTCGGTAGTGTAGTAGTGGTAGGAACGACATTCATTGAGAAAAGAAAGCGGCGGCGAGCCGCGGCCGTTGTACGATGAAATTCCCACGGTTACGGACGAAATGCACTCGCGCTGAACTTTGTTTCTCACGCAGCATGATCTGTATAACTCGAGAGTTAATCATGATCTATGAGTCAAAGGAGGTGAAACAGAAAAGTGGTAATTTCATTAAAAAATACATTGAGGTATCATGAGTTTGAGATTTAGTGATGCCGAATTAAATAGAACGAATAAAAAATTATATTTTTGTACCTTTAAGCATTTTATAATTCCTCAGCGATCGTAAAATTTAAAATTAGGCGCTTGTTAAAACGCAAAATATTTTCATATTACTTAGAATTAAATAAATGAAAAGAATGAGAAAATAGGCCAGTCTACTAACGACACCTCTCGGATAAGTTACAGATTATACATACATTTTTTTTTCACCACGCAGAAAAATGTGTAAGTCTGTTTCCGTTTCCGCGTTCGTCCTGGCCCTCGATGCCTCCCTTTACCGCCCCCTAAAACCAGCCGCACTTTCGCAAAGGATTTATTACTGATGGTGAACTCGACCTGACCCCGGAGCATCCCGCTGTCTATTTCCATTCCGCTGTTTTATCTATCTACCTTTTGCACAGCAGCAAAGTGCGACCCGTGTTCACTTTACCTCTTCCTCTAACTCCCGTCCACTTTTTCTTCTTTAAAACACGAAACGGCGGGAATAAAAAGAAGTGGAAAAAAGCTAACACGGACCCGCGATCAATACTTAACTTCTTCGACATTTGATTGCAAGACCGTTCGTGATTTTCCGCATGTTTATTAGATATATTTTTAGGATTTTGTGTAGGCAATGTACAAAAAAAAAATGGTAAACAGAAACCCTTGTAGTAATAATGTTATCTGTGTCGCAGCACTTCAGACATAGTTTTGGAACGTTCCTATTTTCGGGTACAATCTATTTCAGGTTTCAAAGGCACCATTGCCCGCCCTTATCGTTGAGAATATTTTTTATTTTGAATTTATCAGAACCCTTACAGTCTAAAACAGATTCATGACTTATTTTTATATAGAATTATTGTACCTAATACTTTTTGTATAGTTGCAGGATGTGGACCGGATCGAAAAGTGACGCCAAGTAAAGAAACGCCGGAAGAAGAAAATTCCGAAAGTCGTCCGTTTTTTACTTTTTTTTACGAAGAAAGCAACAAACTACTAATGTGATCAAGTCACCCACTCACCCGCGCTCCCAGAAAACGGGCCTCGAGCAGTTCCTGTTTTCGAGGGTCGAGAGCCGCCTGGAAGTGCTCCATCTTCACGCCAGCACATCCTGCAACAACGAACCGAAATGTCAAATATTTTACTATTTTATAATACCATCCGCAAAAAGAACGACCAAAAGTTAGTAAAAAAAAATCGTATCCGAAAGAAATAATAAAATAAAAATACCTACTACTACATTGTACAAAAACCGAAAAATAAAGTGGTTAAAATGAATTTCACACGCATTAAGATTCTCTTATTCGCGCATTTTTTTGTTTCTATTTCGGTACGATGTTGCTAAAAGTGAAAACGTACATATTAGGATTTTAATCCCTTCGTTTATTTTAAATTAAAATATCTAACCATACTCAATCATGAACAAAGTTCTCACTTTAGTTTAGGAAATCCTTGATATTATTCGGACTATTCTTCAAACAACCCGATAAAAATAATAATTGAGTTACAACATGAGGATTATAAAACGAGTGCAGACAAGTCCGGAAACGATCAACAGGGCCATCTTTTAATAGTTTTAGTAAGTAATATCGTAGCTGACAAACAAATGCGAACGATAGAGATGAGAATACAAAAGTGCTACCGAGTTCCGTCAAAATGGCTGGCGCCCCGCCGGAAGTGGCTAGAAAATGACGTCAGGATATCTCTCTACTAGCGTTCCGTGTCAACATTGATCGAGGGGTGCGAGGGAGGAGAAGTCCAACACCCTCACCCGTCCACCCCCAATTACACGAGCGTCACATGAAATCTATCCTGAATAAAAAAAATACCTTACACCGAACAAATGTTCATCAATTGCTATCATTGTTGACAGATATTTTGTTACAAATATTCTGTGTGGAACATGGAGATTTGAACTTGAAACGTTTTCCGCCCTACAAAGTTCGTTCCCTGTGGTTTTGTATCTCCTTTATCGTCTCAGGGTCTACTTACTTCCTGGCTGGATGGTGGTAGAACTTTCGTACCATCGTTGTAGCAAAGGCAGCGGCAGTGGCATCGGCATCGGCAACGCAAGATCAATAATAAGGAGAGGAGAGCGCAAATTGCCGTTTGTGAAGATGTACTCCACTACAATTCCAGTTTCCTCAGGAAAGTGCTCTCTAATAAATCAATAACTGACGAAAGTTCCAGAACGACGTGGACCAACATGTCCCCTTTAAAATCACGCGAACACTGCTTGCTTGCTATGTAGTCAGCTCGAAAATGGGTTGGGCGAATGCCGTATTTCAAATCGATTTTTATCGCAGTTTATTACGTGTTTTAAAACAAAACCTGACGAAAATTTTCATTTACTAATACCGTCATCTTTGTCATTTCTAACAAGTTGAAACTATATCGATATTACTCCCACATCTCAAAGACAATTCTTTCTAAAACTTTAGTCCAGTTTTCTCAGTCGTCATCAATTTTGAATTATATCTCTTTCTTCCCTCATATTTACTAGTTTTTATTGTATAAAAGATATTCAGATTAACAGTAAGTATCAACACTATAAATCCGTGTATGCTTTTTTCTTTCAATGGAATCAGGTGTTCAGTTTTTTTCAGTTTGGCAACGTGGTATTTTTATCTGTTCGGTACGCAAATTTTCCCACTCTTCCTACGAAAGACGAAGAGCGATAACGAAAACTACACGAAAATAAACAAGGAAAGAGTTGTCAAAAGAAAATTTTACACATACAAGGTACGTAGGTAAGTACCTACAATTATTATTTCTGCGGCGATTGTACTCGTACACGAAATTCCTAATTACCGTTGCATGATAGGGAAAATGTTACGAAATGAAACTGTTGTTTCATTAAAATTTACCTTTTAATTAGAGATTGCGCATTAAAATATGTGTAAAAACGTTAAAAAATACAGGTATGGTCGAGTTGGCCTAATTTCCGCGACATCTACAGCATTACATGGGTAATACCTACAGCGAAATGATAAAAATAGGTAATGAAAACATTTACGTCAGGTAAACAGTTTAAAGCAGTTCTTTTTTATTGCATGACCTAAAACATTAACAAAATCAACAACAATACTGGTACGCATTGGTATTGCTAACTAACAAAAGTGGATACTTTCTTTTAGTAAAAGCAATGTAAATAATTTAGATTGTCATGACCATTTTTAAGCAAATGCGTCACGCTAATGTAGCAATTACACAAATTGTACGGTTGCGATAACAAGAATCGTGCGGGCGAGAGTTATGAACGAAACGTATCATAAACGAACGTCCACCTCCCAACACAGGCAGCGTTCGACTAACGACGAGAATTGCGATCCGGAGAGTCGTTAAAGAGGCAGGCGGACTCGACGATCGTCGATACGATACGAATACAACGCCGGCACTAAAGCGAACTGACGAACAAACGGCGGTGTGGTGCAAGGTCAGGTGCGAGAGTGCGAACGAAACCTCGCGCGGTCACCGTCTCCGTCACGCCGGCAGCGGACAAGTGGATCGATTTCATCGCGACTCGCGGCCGGCACGTACGGCGGGATATTCTCTCTGTTTTGCCTCCGAAAGACCGGAGAGAGGAACATCATCTTCTGCTATTGTTTGTTCCGTTGGTTCTTATTCGCTCGTGCTAAGTCCATAAAAATTTCAAATGCTAATGATGATGTGACGAGGCGTCGTCGAAATATATTTTTCTAATCTGTTAATGTCGTGTTTCTTCTTAACATAAGAATATAGGTATTTTTAAAATCACTAAAATGGAATATTAGTTAAAGTCAACATGACAAATATTTTACAAATGGGTCATTACAGAATAGTAACACACAAACCATGTGGAAACGTATGAAATTTACTTATACAGTTCTTACTTTCTATTGACGTAAAGTCATCTACAGAAATAATAACAAAACAAAATTACACTGTTTATGTTTTAAGGGGGTACACCTAAAATGTGCGTACGTGTGAGTATAAATACATTGGAGGCATCTCACACACCTATTCAGTATCTATCTATCACGTACATGACTATATGTATATATGTAGGTATGGAGAGACGTATTTCCTGCATTTGCGGGTGGCTAGAAGCAATCGGTCCGGGTGTAATTTAGGCTTGCGCTTGGCGCTGCTTGCTTTTGATATTGGCTTTTGCTAAACCATGGCAAACCGAGATGGATTTTTAGGTCACGTAATTCGACGTACCATGTTGCCAAACTTTATTCAACTACCCGACAGACACAAAGGGCAAAAACATACAAATATCTTGCGATACGCAACGGGTGACAATTTTCTATTCTTTCCTTCGACAAATAGACGTTTTCCGCCATACTCAGATACAATAGATGGTACATTACTAAGTCCTTGTTATAATAAGGATTTTATAGGTAGGTACTACAGAGTAAACCTATTCAATATGTCTACAGTTCAATGATAGTGTTTAGAAATACATAACAAATTTTTGGTTTATATTTCTGACTAAAATCTGAGTTGAAATTCGCAATATCTAATAATACGTAACAAATAGGGATCATCGTTCTGCTGATAACTTTTCTAAGGTTTTTCTGTCTAGAAACTGTTTCGTCTTTTGGTACAAAGGCATTATTATATATGTACATACATACATACATGTGCACAGATCTCTCGACAACCGTAGAAATCAATACTTTACCAAGCCAACTTTGTCCGCATTAAAATTGTACGTTTTAGCACTCACCGAAAGTAAATAGGAACGTTTATGTATCTTGCTAACTATGTATTTGAAATAAAAGTATATATTCGAAATACACAACCACAATTAACCACAACACTTTCAGTTAACGCGGACACGCATTTCGCTAAATTTGGTATATGCCTACCAGAACATTTATATTATTTGGAAACAGTCGGAATTCTAATAATTTATACGTCATCATCTGTGCCTCTTTACTCCTGTTTTTGCTTCTAGGATATCTTTAACTATCCTTTTACTTCTCAGAAGTTATCCAACTATTTGCTTATGCTTGAAAGTGTGCTTTCAGTTCTTTTAGGGCTACAAAACATTGTAGGTTGAAACCATTTGAGGAGTTGGGTCTTGGTATACAAGTTGTTTTCTAAAAGTGCTCAGTAATTTGTAACTAAAAAGACCTCAAGTCCTTTGATTTGATTTCTATTTAATTNACACCTTTCGATATTGCATCACCAATGAAATCATCAATAACTATAATAATACAATGGACGGATACAATACAATTGCCTCGGAAACAAATTATACATATAATAAATCTACAAAAATTGTCACAAAATGAGGTTTTTCCATTTTATATACTGCCAATTCATTTTAATATGGAATCGGAGATTGAAGGGTCAAATCGGTTTAAATAAGGGCGTTGACCTTGCAGGTTTTTTAATGAGGGCTTTGCCCATATAAAAGTCAAGTGTATCTACGCTCACTTTTTACCACAATTATCCATTATTCTCGATTCATGTTTGTGATAGAAGATAGGCTCTGGTCTCCCACTGATATTAAGTTAATACTTATAAGAAGGTTGTGCGGGGGTAAAGGTGGGTGGTGGTGCGGATCTTTCCTCAACCCATTGGTTTGTCGTGACAGGATGGAGAATGTTCCAGAATAAATTTTGTGATAGATGTATGAACGTGGCGGATTTATCTGAAAAATTCCAGTTGACTAAATTTTTGTAGAAAATTCTGGAATGTTTCAGTATCTTCTAGCTGGTTCCTATACAACAGTAATCATGCAGCATCGAAAAAGACACAAGTTTCATTTTTTTTTTTCTTGACGTGCCCTCGTAGCCATTAAATGACCCGCAAAAGCGGCACGTAAAGCGCATCGTATGCGAAAGCTCGTCGCCATCGTAGTAGGTGGCGCGCGCCAACAATCTCACTGAACGACGCTTAACAAATTACCCTGATAGAGAGCAGCTAGAAGCAGGCAGCTGCTGCTACTTCTCTTCTTGTTGTCATACATACATACATGATACACACACACACACGCAGACACGAAACGGCGTCTCCGTCCGCCGTTCTTGCTGAGTAGAGAGCAGAGAGCGTCGCGGCGGTTGCGCTCGAGGCATCATCGCGCCGCGCCGCTGTGTGGTGCCGATGTCATCGCTCGCTATGCATGTAGCGGCCCTTCTCCGTGTTGAGAAAACAAAGTTAACTGTGCGTAATCGACAATGGCCCAGTTAGAGGGGAATTTTGAGGAATTAGGACCGAAAACTCCTGGGGCCAATGTAAACTCAAAGGGAGGCTGCTGGCTCACACCGTATTTATAACACTAACTTTTTAGCCTACATTTACGCGTTATCTTCATTTCTACTCGATCGACTTCGGATTTCAAAAACTTGTAATCGCCACCATGATATCGACAATATTGCACATTCGTTTTCAACACATACTTGTCCTTTTTGTTTACTTTTGAAATCTTTTTACAAGATTTTTTACTGTCTATCTTGACGCACAAAGGGATATGCATAAGATCCTTATGGTTACGGTATGAGAAGACAACACTTACGAAGTCTTGTTTTAATGTGTTTCCTTTTATCTGGAAATATCATATTCACTTCGTGATCCTAGTAATTTGTATACTACCCAGTATTTCTTATTACCTGCAAACGAGAATTGTAGTACCTGCTGTCACCCGATAATCGAAAATACCTATTTAAGGTGTTTCAAAATTTCAACAAGAATTCTCCGATCAAGTATAACAATACGAGATGGAAGTAGACATGTGTACACTACTTTTAGAGTTTCAGTCGGAGTCTCGGATGCTGTAGAAAGGAATTTTACCGTGCTCTTGTAGAAGAATAATAAGATAGGGTCGAGAGATTTTCTCGGCGTGTATGTTGCAGGTTGGTTGCAACGTCGCAGGTAATAGGCGGCGTTGTCCGGTCCGGGGCACGTTTACACATTTTAAAAACGATTAACTATTACTTCACCATCGTACCTACACAACACACACACACACACATATATAGATACATCTATACAGTATCTATATACGTATGCATACACCTCTACGAGTATGGTTGAAAGTGGAAACAGGTTAGGCTAGTTGTTCTTAAAAATCCAATTGGACTGCCGAGTTGTTCCCGTAAACACGTGCATTTTTATGAGATCTTGTGCCTCTCTGCCTACCCATGTAATTCCTACGCCGCAAGAGAGAAAAATAACGTGCTTTCTGTGCCTTATACGACAACATCGTGAATTACACTAAGCGACCGTTTTAGTTCGTTCGTTCGTTCGTACGAAGGTTGGCAGGCATCGGTGCTCGGTGGTTTCAACCCGACAAGTTCACCGAACCGAAATATAATGTAGGTACAACAGAGAAAATCGAACAGACTTACTTAATTTACTGTCATTTGAAAAATATTTATTATTATTCGCAAAGTGGTACACAAATATTGTCTCTCAGACGGAACGAAAAGAGACACTGGCTCATTCTGGTCTTAGAGGCTAGAATGAACAGGATAATAAAATACGTACGTATCGATAAATTTTCGAATATTTCGACTAAATGGCAATTGGTCGTAAATTAATTTGAAAATCTGGATCCCTTGATCCATGAGGAATACAAAATGATAAATCATTAAAATGAAATTCTAAACTTAAAGTACATTTGTTTCGGCATATACGTATTGTTGTAATAAAATAATAAAGGAATTGTAACAGGTGCATTCTGCACTGTTCCTTACCAATACGAGGTTCAAACACAGCCATGGCATTCTATGACGAACAACAACAACAAGAATGACAATGACAACGTTTTACAATATAACGTTGACGTCGTCGCGTACCGGCACACAACAATGCGAACCGAACTTCTCATTACCCGCTAATAAATGGCACGGGGGATAATGCGGCGCGTCGTCCGTCACATGCGATCAACAGCGATATTTACCCGCCGCGCCGCACACGCACTCTACTACGAACGGAACGGTTTTCAACAAGAAAGAAGAAGAGCGGCCACAGCGT